CGCAGGTGAGCCAAATTTACACACTCCAAAAAGGTGTTATTGACCTCGAAACATTTTCCCGTTAAACATAAAAAACCAGTAATGAATTGGTTTCAACGTCTGATGAAGTAGGCTACACCACACAGAATTAAGCACTGCACTTATCGGAAACAGCAATCTCGCTAATTTAAAACTTGATTTAAGCCCGAGCAATAAAGGACAAGCGCTTGTGTGGGTTTAAGTATCGATTTGGCACAGTTGTCACGTTAATTCTTGTTAGAAAATTTGTCAATTTAAAAATCATTTTTTTGATTCTGCCCAATTTTTGCATTTCCTGTTTAACCCGACCTCAAATTCTTCCTCGTCAAGGAGTCAACCATGCAGGCGATTAAACAAACAATCGGACACCCGTTTACATGTCAATATGCACAAACGGTCGAAGAATCGCCTTCGGTCGAGACTTTTCAAAGCAACTTCTAGTATGACATGGTTCCAGCGAAGGCGAGTTTTGATGCTTAGTGAATGAGAATAAGTTGATAGTTGCGGAATGTGTTGATTTTGGAGACCGGTACAAAAGACGTTTTTAATTACTGATAGGGTTGGAGTAGCTCTCTTCTGAATGGTCAATCTCTGACCAATAAAATATTGTGCCTGGCATTTTATTAAGAAAATCAGTTACAGGGCGTGCAGCTATGATTCCTCAAGGATCAGCCTTTAAAGGGGGGTTTAAGGCGGTTGTTTAAGAAGTGCGCCAAGTTTCTATTGAGCGCCAAGCCGCGGCATTCAAATTCAAACAAAGACAACGCTTACTGTCCTTAGTTTATAGAATCGATTAATTTGGACCTTGGCATTTAAATCCCACCTTAATCATTGAACCCACACACAGCTAAAGGACATTTTTACCTCCGTGCACTTGGAGATTTAAGCCCAAGCAATATAGGACAAGCGCTTGTGTGGGTTTAAGTATCGATTTGGCACAGTTGTCACGTTAATTCTTGTTAGAAAATTTGTCAATTTTAAAATCATTTTTCTGATTCTGCCCAATTTTTGCATTTCCTGTTTGACCCCAACTCAAATTCTTCCTCGTCAAGGAGTCAACCATGCAGGCGATTAAACAAACAATCGGACACCCGTTTAAATGTCAATATGCACAAACGGTCAAAGAATCGCCTTCGGCCGAGAATTTTCAAAGAAAACTTTTATTTCTTCGTGGTTCCAGCAAAGACAAGTTTTAATACTTTGAGAATCAGTAAAGATGGAGCATGCACTGTCTTAGGACTCTAGTAATCACAAAATTACCTTAACAAACGGCATTAGGAGGGTCTTCTTGTGGCCGAATGATTCGTCTGCTGAAATACTGCCGGTCGAGGCGTCGACGGTGATTTGAGCTGTTCGCTCGATGTGGTCCTCCAGTGGAAGTGACTCGAGCACAACGCAGGCGTCGAGTTGGGGACGCACGATGAATTCCCCTCCGTCGATGCATTCGCCGGAGTGCTCTAAAGGAGGCAGGTGATGATGGCAATACCGGTGACACACAGGCAATTTGATCAACTAGTTAAATAGCTAAAAGGTTTTGCAGTGAATCGTACTGATTTACAGCCCATCAATCCGGTTTTCGAAGTCCTCGCCACTCTAGCCTCATTTGCACGCCGTCCCCATCGATCCTGCCAAACGTCTGCTCATACACCCCTGCGTTCCCCTTTCGTTCATCCGACCTCCCGGTATCACTGGCGTCTCATTTGACGCGTCGTTTGGATTCAAGGTTACAAAGTCCAGCCTTGAACAAATCCAGTACTTTGGACATCCTTACTACAATCGCCTGCTGCTGCAACACTGCTATCATTTCCTCTTACGTGAAA